ATCTCTATGGTTCCAAATGAGTAAACACATAGTGATATGTCATGTCGTATGGTGTATATTACTTCTATGGTACCAAATGAGTAAACACATGGTGATATGTCATGTCATATGATATGTCAACTGGCATCCATGTGACAGAAAGATGAGGCAAGGGATGCAATGATAGACAGGTTTGAACAACTTCAAGACACCCTCAGCCCTGGAAATAAACCTTCAAAAATAAGATAAGATAAGACAATAAGATATTAAGCGTGGAGAAAATATATTACCCTTTTAGAAAATTTTGATAGTTTATCTTTAATTGGGCAAATACGGTTTAAATTAATCCAAAATATGACTTAGCACTTATTGGGTTACAGACAAACCCACAGATGCCTTGCCGATGTGTGGTCTGGCTGCTATCAGAAGTGAATGCCAATACCAAGTTTGCGTGAAATCTACACAAGGCATGTTAGAGTAACGATTGTAGGACACGTTTGTTTCATTTGTAATTAAAAGTGATCAAATCCCCAAAACAAATCAATGTGCATAAATATACAGTGTTGGCACTGCGTTTCAAAATGTTGGGACCCTTTAAATAAAACGAGATCCACCATGAAAAAGTGGAGTCCCATTTTTAAGTATAATTTGTTGTTGTCAAGCGCTGAATTCTTAGGAATATATCAATTACACTGACCACTCAGTGCAATCTGCTGTAAAATACTTTATTTTAGCTGGAATTAATTTTCACTGAAAAGACTTATTGGTGTCTTGTATGGAATTTATTTTCATTGATTTTTGACAAGTTGAATGTAAAATATAGGAAAAAAGGTATATTCGCTAGAATTCAATTTCACTGAATCATTCATTCAGCAAAAATAAATTCCAAGCGAAAATAAAGTATTTGTTGTGTTTGAACCAACTTTGAACATAATCCTTCCAGGAATGCCCGAGAAATGACATCAGATAGACAGATGCAAACACAGAATCTCAAACATTAAGTCGTTATATTTTACGTGACATACATATATGTAACTTGTAATTAGCCGGTTTAGACACGAGACGATTTCATTACACAGATTGCTATGTTAATCCCAAATAACAGATGCGATACAGGGGGAGAGCTGTGTGGCACAATTGGCTGACAAAATTTGCATAAATTATAATTCATGAGAAATGAAATAATCATCACCAGCAGAAAAGATAATGAAAGAATTGCTGTAATTATATTTTTTAAGATACGTTTTCAATCATAGTCCAGCAAACTATCTTGAACGTGATCCTAGCAAGTTACACAATTTAAGGGGAAGGCACGTTGATATTTCACAATAGAACTATTGCTCAAAAAGTTACCTAATTACTATGTATTTTGAGAAACAACTTTGTTTAAAATGGAACAATTTTGAATGCAATAAAACTATGCATAAGACTAGTAGTGCCAAACCGATTGTCATTTGCATTGTTTTGCAATGGACACAATTTAGGGCCTGTATATTTCTGTTATGTTTCTTAGTATTTAGCTTTATTATTTTGAAAGAAATGGCTGAAATGATTTCATCTATCTCTAAAAAGAGGCATTGTTTCTTTGATGACGACTTAAAATACATACAGATTGGGCAGCAGCCAATCATGCAAATCCCTCTCTGATGTTGTGTATGCGGCTTTAGTACAAATTATATTTATAATATTCCTGCAAACATTAACATTTCAACCCATGTGCTTTCATTTTTGCTCATTATTTAATGTATTTTAAAAAGTATTTTAAAAATTTGGAAAATAACGCATGACATTATGCTGAGATGAAGATTTTTCACAATTTTTATAAAACCAAATACAGCATGAAATGAGAATACCTCATACAATAAAGTAGTGAATAAAGTGCGTAAAACTCCATCAATAGAAGAATAATTAATGTAATGAAGAGTAGTTACAATTCAACAGGTAACAAGCTTAAAGGGCGGTAGTCGCCGCGCTGCGTATGTGTGACATTTGTGTTGATAAACATTGGTTTTCCCATAATCCAATGCACTCTTCTAATGGGAATCACAAGTATGAGGTTTGACCTTGGTGCGACATGCACTAATTACCACCCGCAACTACTTTAATGTCTTCCAATCAACTAAAAAAACCTAATTAAAGCTTGGTAACGTCTTGGTTTGTACTCCTTGATCTGCGCAACAGTCAAAGTAGCCATATTTGTTTATACGAGACCCATATATCTCGTGCATGCGTGGCGCGACGACTACCGCCCTTTAAGTGATTTTCATAAACTGTTGTGATGTAGAAAACAACCACCTATTTTGAATAAAATACAGTCTAGTTGTTGCTTTTAATGATAAAAATTGAACAAAAAATATATGTACATATATGTGCAGCTTCCCTGTCTTCTTCGGTCCACCTGCATTACCATTTTTTCTTTGTACTTGAAAAACAACACTACATTGCTGGAACTGTCAACTGTGGGAGTTACCCAGTGAACACAAAAGCCACCTACTGATATGGGTGGGGGTTATCTAGTGGGCACAATAGCCACCTAGTGATGTGGGGAGGATATCTAGTGGGCACAATAGCCACCTAGTGATGTGGGGAGGATATCTAGAGGGCACAATAGCCACCTACTGGTGTGAACTAAATATATGTCCATTGAACTCTACAGTGTTACTAAAACTTTTCCGACACATGCTACATTGAAACGGTTCCTCCTTAGCATGCAGGCTTTGATGCATGGCATGTACCATGGCGTTATTGAAGCTTATACCACATGCATCACATTTATATAGATTTGTATCTGACACATGCGCATTTCCCCGTGCCGTGTGATTCTCAGCTGCGAGATCTGCTTGGATGCCTTTGTTAGTCATAATGACTTTTTCAGTTTGTGTTTGGTGATTCAATAGCACAGGTTGTGTTCCTGGTTGTTTATCCTTGGAATTCATCGGTAATACCGCATTGCTGTGTGGATTTACAACCCACGTACACACAGTGTTTGATTTCTGCTGAGAGGCCCTGGTGGTCGTAGACACCGAAGCATTATCAGATTGCGAGGCGTTAGATGCATTCAGTTGTTGTGATACTGATGGAGGTGGGATACTGGTAGCTTGAGGCAAAAAGCTTGCAGAGAATGACGGAATTGCGCCATGAGTCGGCCGTGATGTGTTTTTCACTTGAGGCACCATGGGGTGAATAGACGTTGGGATCATCTGTTGACCATTTGATGACATAGAAGCCTGGTTTGATGCTGTGTTCTGTTGCAGCGAGGAGCTCATCACATGTTGCTGGGGCATATATTTTTCAGATTGCTGCAAGGAATGAGAGATACTTTGTGTCGAAAACTGAGGTGCGTTTGGTAAAGCAGTTAGTTGTCGAGTATTACCCGCCTGATGATAGGTTGTCTGAGGTGGACGTTGAATCATAAAAGATGGCTGAGTACTGCTTGATTGCCTTACTGCATTGTTTGAGGTGAATACCTGACCAGGCTGGTTTCCTGGATTGCAGAGTACTAAAGTGACCATGCCATTGTTATTCTGTGTAGCAACTGATTGGACTTGTTTCGGAGCAATTATACTGAGAACTTCTGATGCCAGTGAATCTGTTACTTTGCCTTCCTTCAACGAAGCAGCGGCAAGGCGTACACTTTGATTAGTATATCCCTGTGATAGGTCAGCTTCGGAGGAGAGCGTTGCAATGTACGTCCTTAACGAGTTATGCCCGACTGGCGCATCCTGATACCAGACCGGACATTCCTCTGTTATTTCGAATGTCACTCGTTTAGGTCTTTGCCAAAATAATTCACTATCAGGATTGAGTTTAGCCATGTACTTCTTAAATGATCTGATTGGACACTTTACAAATCCTACAAATAAATAATACAGAAAACTTCAAGAAGCTGGTGAAACAAAGACACACTACATGTTTGATTGACCATCATATTGAAGACATCAATTGAGTTTAATAAAATTTAATTAAATTAAATTAATTGAAATTCAATTCAATAAAACAAAATTTAACAATTACACAGACTACCATCCTTCGAAATTAGTAGTCCAACTGTACTACTTGAAATTTACAAAAAATTATATTTTGTTTTTAAAATTGATGTCCTATCTAACACAACATTTATTCATTAATAAACAACATTACATGTTTAGGCTTAGTCTTTTCCATGAAACAAAACGAAACGTGAAAAGAAAACGAAATGAAATTAAACCAAAATTTTGAACGACTTCAAACATCACCACGTCACAGAAATAAATTTGTTGAGAATATTTAGTTTTCACCTCTTTCCCGCCTACTTTGCAGCTCGATTCATTTGTGCTGACATGAAGTGACAACCATTTTGGAATTGTTGAACACTGATGGCGCTATTCATTTTGTGTTTCACAGTGTGAAATTTTCTCAGATATTATTAGGCCAATGAAAAAAAATGCGAGTTAGGCTTAGGCTTTTGTTTCGTTTCGTGGAAAAGACTAAGCCACATGTTTATCAAATGCAGTATTAGAAATCCATTTCTTGGCATTACCGGTAACATGATTAGGATATACCATATCATAATGCCAATATATTTATTTCTTGTCATTGCACTCATTACTAAAGCTTTTTTGAAGTATTTGGACTATTTTGTGAAATATTTGTCTGAATTTGTGCAAATTGCAAGAAACATGTATTGAATTGACACTTTTCAAAACTTTCAGGATTTGATTACTCTAATATATCATGTGATTCATGCATATTCAATCATGCCATTAATATTTTATTTATTTATTACAGATCCCAATAAAGGTTTTCCTGTGGAATTTTATTGAGATTAACTAAATCAATGTCATTCTAGACTAAATTGTACTTTTGAATTCATATCCACCATCTTGGATTTGTCCAACATGTCACCCAGTCATGTTGATAATCTAACAGAAAGTGCAGTTACTGCTTGAATGAAAAAATACTTGAATATTAACGCAAAATAAGTAGCAACGAATGATTCAATTTTTTGTGAAATATTTTGTTTTTAACCAATCACGCTGTGTGATGTCACCTGCGCACGCGCGGGAATTGAGTTCCAAGCGACAATAATAACACACGCTAAAAACACAAAGGCTCATGTGTAGCCGCTTGTTTGTAAACAATGACACGCTATGCCCATCTGACGCATGCGTAGGTGACGACTCCCTCGCTTTAACCACATATGCAGTTTTGGTGACTACTGTAGAATCCGTTATTTTCGCTTGGAATTTATTTTCGCTGAAGGAATGATTCCGTGAAAATAAAATCCAGCGAATATACTTCTTTTCCTATATTTCACATTAAACTCATCAAAAATCAGTGAAAATAAATTCCATACAAAATGCCCAAAAAGCCTTTTCAGCGATAATTAATTCCAGCGAAAATAAAGTATTCCACAGTATGTCACTCTAACATACAGTCAGCTGGTCTGTGTGACCTAGGGTGTAGAAAAGGAAAATCTATGCAAAAAACTTCTTTATTGGTGATGAGAAGTTTGTCATTCATTATGATTGAAAGAATACCTTTTTATTACATCACCTTTAAAAACTGGCTTAGAATTTTTATAAACAAAAAGATTGAAAAGCATGGTTCACAGTTTTCTTTCTACACCCAAGATCACACACGCCAGCTGACTTTGCTTCAACCACATGTGGGTTGATTTAAAATGACTTACCAGGGGCAGCATATAAAACAACTTTATCATTGTATTCGTCTTTCTTATTTAATCGACTTGGAATTGTGACATATTCCCGCCCATTGGTGTCAACACCAAAATCTAACGTCTTCGTTGTCATAGCACGTAGACTTTCTCTTCCAGTATTAACATGCGAAAAAAGCATAATGTCTACAAAAACTTTATTTTGCAGTCCCCACGGTGTGCTTTCAGCCAAAGCGGAGCTGTTATACAGTTTCCGCAGATCTTCTAACTTCATTGTTGGAACATTTTTAATTTTGTCCAAACCAATATGTTTCAGGTAGCGACAATGTTCCTTAAATTTGGTATTCACATGATCAAACTCAGGGCCAGCCATATTAATTCCAAAGGCCTTTAAAAGATATCGTCCAACACTTGCCCGGAAACATTGGACAGTTGATCTACTGTAGTAAGTACCATCTTTCCGTCGGGTAGTTGTCAAAAAGTCAACAAGTATTTGATTCAGTTCTTTAATTGGAAAGTTTTCAAAATCAGGCCTTCCTTTTTTCTTTTGGCAATATTCCCTTAACATCTTAACTGCCACATGTGTGGCCTTTACAGTACAGGCACTTGCATTTGATTCGCTGAAAACATAGTCTGTCATAGCTTCCAGGTCCTCAGTTTTAACACCAACAAAGTCGTCTCTCAGCATATCTTCACCTTCCGAGCTGTGATCCGAATCCATTCTCTCCCTAGCCGCCATACTTACGTGAAAACAATAACGATCGAATGATAAAGACCTCGCTACAAACGCATAATGACCTAAAAATAACAATAACGTAACTTTGGAATAAACAATCATTGAACAAAAATGAAGGAACAGGATCATATTTTCAAGTAAGACTAAACACCGTGTGAAAAAAACTGAACTATATCGAAAGATCAGTGCAAGAAATCTAACGTACCTGGGAAAGAACTCTGTTATTGGAATAAATACCCGACCTCTGTTGTCAGGCGCCTGCGCGGGATTCGTTATGAGCATCATATTGACTTCAGGACCACTTAGGTTTGACACAAATAATACGATTCTTATCTATTTTCAGCGTAGAATTACCAATGTGATGGGTTTTGCTAATTTTTGAATCAAACTAAATTAACACTTATGTTATTCCAATTGTTGTGTTTGAACGATTGCGCAAAATTTGTAACAACAAGTACGAATCGGGAGGTTATTTCATTGATAACTTAGGGTGCCCATTTATTGCACAGCTGTAAAGATGGCGTCGATACAAGACGACGGCCAGCGATCTGCCCTACTGGGAAGGTAAGTGTAATTGCCCTGTAGATTAAGATACGCCCCCTCATATATCAACATTGGTCTCCACTGTAAGTGCGTTGTTCAAGGCACCACAAGTATTTCAAATATTCAATTACTAGTAGTTGAATTTCTGCGATCATGTGACACATAGTTATGAATCATGTGATATGTTATGTACATGTATCGTGTCATTAAATTTATTTCCGGGTATATCGAGTTAAAAAACATACAAAAAAAAACAACTTATGCATATACAATATTAATATATATGTTTGTTGTACAGTGCGTTTCAGGGAAGTATTAATTTGTTTGGGGACAATGAAATAAAATATTTATAAATATTTAAAAAAGACAATACTCCAAATTAAATAAAAACAAGGGGGTTTTATTTTTGTATTGAATATTTTTTAATGGTTTCTCATTATGTATTGTTTATTTCTTTCGGTGCAATGTATTTTATATGTTGTCTTTACCATACAGTTCCCTCAGATGGTACTTTGTTTCAGAGTAATAAAGTTATTATTTTAAAACACTAACTCTCAGCACAACTTCTCAGCATTCATATAAATTTTGTAAATTGCTTTTCTGAAAGTACTTTATGAAATCTAAATTGTTTCTTCACCATAATTCAACTGTTAGCTGTAAGCGAGGAGTTACATTTCTCATAGTACAGCAGTGTGCAAAAGTCTCAAATAAAGCTGCCACTCATACATCAAATGATAAGACCTGGCAGTCAAAATGAGGGGATACTAAGTATAATACTACAAATACAACTACTCCATATTGTCACCTGGATGGGGTTTGATTATTTGCAAAAGAATATTTCCCAACATCAGTCTGGTAAAAATTGGTTTTAAAATAAAGTTACCATTTTACCAGTGGATGTATTTGCCCATAAAATGGTAGGCCTACAATAAAGCAAAGTTTGTGCATGTTAACAACATATTGAACATCTGATTTCTCAGAAATGTAAAACATTAAAGCTGACAAAATTTAAATAAATTTTCAAAATAACTTTTGCAAGAATCAATAACAGAAAAAAAAAATTCTGCTTGCCTAAGTCTTGGAGAAAAATTATTTCGCACACAGGAAAAAAATATACAGCAAATTCATCATGAAAAATATAACGCAAAACTAAGTGAAGGAACAAAATATTTATTTAGCACAGTGTTTCTGCCATCACCCCCCTGTAATGTTAATGGTCCATCCCTAGATACTTATAAATGTAGGTACTGGTAAATACTTAAAGTACAGTACTTCATTTTTTGAATATTTTTTTTTTTAAATACGGGGACTGGGACATTCATGTTTTGTTTATTTTCAGGATTTATTTTGTTCCCCTTGTATGTATTAAGTCCACTCAGACACATAAGTCACATCACGATTCACTGCACATTTGCAACACAATGGAATGCAATGCCACATAATGAGTTTTGGGTTTAACATTTATATTTCAACCATTCCAAATCTTACTTACTGTTTTAGTCTTAAATTTGAGAAAATTAAAAAATGGCATAAATACACAGCAAGAGACTGTTAAAGGGCGGCAGTCGTCGTGTCGCGTCCTGTTCGATATGGGACTCATAGCGACGTATACAAGGCGTGTAAAATACATTGTTTATTAACATGAAATTCGAACATGCGCTGCACGACGACCACCGCGCTTTAACTCTTTACCCGCCAAAGTCACCCTTTTTCATATAAATAAATCTGCATAAATATATTTATATTCTTTTTAATTTTTTTGTAAAAACAAGTAGTTCCTGAAACATATTCATTGCATTCAAAATTAATGTAGAAATTATAAAAAAAAGTACTGTGGAATATTTTATTTTCGCTGGAATTAATTTTCGCTGAAAAGGCTTTTTGTGCGTTTTATATGTAATTTATTTTCACTGATTTTTGATGAGTTTAATGTGAAATATAGGAAAAAAAGTATATTCGCTGGTTTTTATTTTCACGGAATCATCCTTTCAGCGAAAATAAATTCCAAGCGAAAATAAAGTATTCTACAGTACATAAAAATGTGATATATGTTAAACCACCATTTTTGAGCTGTATAAATATGTTGTCCAAAGGGTTAAATACCAAACAAATAAACCATACTTGTACCTACAGCTTTGAGTCATTTCTCAGATTGTGGCTAGAAATAGAACTTAATACTGTAGTTTTACTTAAAGCTTAGCACCACCTTGTTAAGAATTGATTTTCTAAATCTAAATATTCATACCTTATGTTAATCATGATTGGAATATTTGTTGTCGTATTACAGGCAGAGAGTTGTGAATCGTAACCTTTTTATAGCCACTGGTGTGTCTATGCTGGGGCCATTAAGTTTGGGTTATACATTGGGTTATTCATCACCAGCGATTCCTGATATGACATCTCGTAATATATTAGATAAAAGCCAAGCATCTTGGTTTGGGGTATGTACAATAGATTTGTTTCCAACACAATAGCATTTCCAGTATCTTTACAAATTTATATAAATCAAATACCCTTAGTCACACCACGCTTGAAAAAATAGATCAGTAAAAGAATATTGGTGCTTTCAATACCAAAGATAACTTTTTTTTTCATCTTTTAGAAAATAAACTTCCTTAATTTTGATTCTGAATTGTAACAATTTGGGAATGATTGAAGTTAGAGCAATAAATGACACATAATTATGATAGGATGCAGATATGTCATTGGATAAAGCAATAAATGACACATAATTATGATAGGATGCAGATATGTCATTGGATAGAGCAAGATATGACACATTATTATGATAGGATGCAGATCTGTCATTGGATAGAGCAATATATGACACATTGTAATTATGATAGGATGCAGATATGTCATTGGATAGAGCATTATAGGACACATTATAATATGATAGGATGCAGATATGTCATTGGGTAGAGCATTATAGGACACATTATAATATGATAGGATGCAGATATGTCATTGGATAGAGTAATATGCGACACATTGTAATTATGATAGGATGCAGATATGTCATTCGATAGAGCAATAAATGACACAATTATGATAGGATGCAGATATGTCATTGGATAGAGTAATATATGACACAATATAATTATGATAGGATGCAGATATGTCATTGGGTAGAGCAATATATGACACATTGTAATTATGATAGGATGCAGATATGTCATTGGATACAGCAATATGCGACACAATATAATTATGATAGGATGCAGATATGTCATTGGATAGAGCAATAAATGACACAAAATTATGATAGGATGCAGATATGTCATTGATAGAGCAGTATATGACACATTGTAATTATGATAGGATGCAGATATGTCATTGGGTAGAGCAATAAATGACACATTGTAATTATGATAGGATGCAGATATGTCATTGGGTAGAGCAATATATGACACATTATAATTATGATAGGATGCAGATATGTCATTGGATAGAGTAATATGCGACACATTATAATTATGATAGGATACAGATATGTCATTGGATAGAGTAATAAATGACACATTGTAATTATGATAGGATGCAGATATGTCATTGGGTAGAGCAATATATGACACATTATAATTATGATAGGATGCAGATATGTCATTGGATACAGCAATGTGCGAC